ATGTATAAATATATACATGTATAAGGTTATCTACCGTGTATAGTGATCCGGTGCTACTCAGGCAGAACTACAGACAAAAGAAATGGATAATGGAAGGCGAGTGGGGGAGGTTGGTATCTGAGAGATAAATACAATTGACGTCCCTTCTTTACGAGGGTATCCTCGGCGTACGTTAGTTCGAGAAAATTGCTAAGCTTATTCGTATACATAATCATTATGTATAAAAAATTTATTTTGTAATATCAAAACTATTGTTTAATTTAAATAAACTTCGTCAACAGACATAGATGGTACGAATATTCATGGGATTGACTGTAAATTTCATTGTCTGACCATGTACGGTGCAATACTACTCGTCTGTCTTGACGCTGACAGTAGAATAGACCACGGTATCTCGTCATACGAGGAATTATTACCAGGCTGCTCCCAGTCGGACAAGAAGAACGACGTATTTTGTTGAACGAATAGAAAATGTTTCACGTACTTTCGTTCTACTATTCGATCCGAGTAAATACGGTACCTATTCGATCGGTGCCGGCTTCATATGGAAAACATCAACTTCTCCGACCGCATGGAGTTTCGGTCCTCGTGCCACTCGCGCGGAAAATCAATACGCGATAACAAGGTGGCGAAACGCTGCCGATAAGGATGATATTTATTGCTCGCGCTAATACGTCCCGTCTCGCGACAAACAAAAAGAGCATAAGGGCCGCCGCGCTCTTAATGAGCACCGCGGAGTTTATTGCCCCGCGCTTAACGGAGATTAAAACAGCTTTAAAAAGGATGCCGCGAGTCGACGAATGAGCCGAACGGTGTAAAACATTCACCCGTCTACGGGTAACGGTAGACGCTCGTAATAACGGTGATTCCCTGGGTTTCCTTTTGTCTTCGCGACTCGGTACCGTAACGAGAAAGCGCGATCCTCGCGATCATCTCCCATGGACGGTACACGGGTGAATTCGAGCGCTAACCCGCCTGTAAGATCGATGTCCGTGCAATCGATCCACGAATTCGTCCTAAATACACGCGGAACTTTCGTATTATAATCTACAGTTGGGTATACTGCTCGAAAATTGCAACGGGTCATTATCGATATCTAAAGCACGGGTAGCGAATTCTTTCTCTTAACTGGTCGAATGGGCTGGAAGGCCGAGTCTCAATCCCTGAGTTAATTAATTACGCGATGCCTTGGTGGTACCATTATACCAGGTGTTCTTTAGAATGAACAGTGTTGAAATAACCGAAGAATAAAGCCTGATCTGTAGGGTTACGCTTGATATGCTCGAGTCGAACAAACGCGAAATCAACGTAACGACTCTTAATCGCGAATCGGAGCAACAAATTTCCCCAATGTACGAGACATTACTGCACATGCTGACTGGTCTCTTCCTAGAATGATATCGCGACGAAATAAAGGACAACGCGTTAACGGTAGCCGTTGCAGTACCCGATACTGGACAGCGGTGTGACGCGGAAACAGAGGACACAATATCCAGCTTGAAAGGAGATGCCACGATAATAAATATGCCCAGCGCCGGTAGCTATAAATCCCGCGTAATTGAATTTTCAACATCCATAACTGGTCGTCGTTGCCGGTGCGACCTCAGGAAATAGGATGGGATGTATCTTAAACCGACTGGGGTCGTTCCTTTCTATTCTCGAAAAGGCGGAATCCCTTCCAAGCCCTCTTCGATTAAAACGCTGCCTCCTTCGTCCCTTTCCCTTTCTCCCTTCCTCGATTCTTCGGTGTTCGCAGACTGGAACAATTTTTAATTCGCTCTCCAAACCGATTCTTCTCGTTGCTCCTTCCTTTCGTCTCGCCGCCTCCGTTCGCTCTCACCCCCAGACTCTCGCACCAGCTCTCCTCTTCGATCTTTCCTCCCCTTCGCTTGTCCCTCGTCTCCGTCGTGGTCGTTCCCCTCTCACCCGTTCTCTTTCTTCCACTCGTGGAAGGCGAAGTGTTCCTTTGACGGGAACATCTAATCAAGAATTTCTTCGAGCCCAGAATCCATGGCCTGCCAAACTCTGCTTTCCTTCGCTCCCACCCTCACTCTTTCTCTATTTCCCATTCTTCTTTCGTCGATTCCGTTCCTAATCTGTCTTCCTCGACGCGCCAAGAAGCGCGGAAAAGTTTGTGCGCGGGAAAGTCGCGTGGACGCGACGAACGAAGAAAGGAAAAGGTTCCATCGGGAACACGTCGGTTGGCTTGTATTCCACGCGCACACACTCCCGAGGTTTAATGAAATACAGCTCCCATGGGCAAGGGGATCGGGATCTTCCCCAATCAGCGCATCCACCGCTATACTTGGAAGACTTCAGGTTGCAACCCCTAATTCTTACTTCTGCTGTTTCTGTTACAACAGCGATGTAGTCAAACCGCAATTCCCTAGTCGGAGCTCCCTTTTCCTATCGGTTGCCTCGGGCGAATTGAAGCAGGTCTGTTAGATCCCTCTTCGTTTCGAACTTGGAAAGAACAAACAGAGAAAAATTATTTGTTTAAACGCTTCGAATCTAGAGGTCTTCAACGTCAAAATACTTCCTTAACTCGGGATTGTTTAAACGCTTCGAACCTAAAGGGCTTTGACGTCAAAATGCTTTCCCGACTTAAATTTGTTTAAACGCTTCGAACCTAAAGGGCTTTAACTTCAAAATGCTTCCAAAACTATCCATTTCGAATCCTATACTCAACTAAAATTTTTTAACGTAGTACGCGGTATTGGATTTCAACCGACTTTGAACGCGGTATATAAATTTTGCGAACTTGGGACGCGACAAAAATTTGCGGACCCGGGAGGCTCTATTGAAAATCAATTTTTATCCAGCTTTTTGACGCAAAGCTCCGCTATGCACGGGAGTGTTTGGCGGGGGGTCACCGACGTCGGTTTCGCGGACCCTGTGGTCGGTTAAATTCGCGATGTTCGCGAATTGGTCGGCAGGAAGCGGCGGCGGACGAGCCACCGAACGAGCTGGTCTAACGCGAGAGATCGTGGAGAGCCGTGACGCCAGAGATTACGATAAGCCCTCCAAGCGGCGAGAAACAAATGACGTACTAACTGCATATTAACTGAACTGCCGGGCTATCCGTTGACTCCGCCTCCTGCCCGTGGAGCCACGCGAGTGTACTACCTACCTACGTGTAGCTACACGATCCACCAGCGTTGCAACCATCGGACTAAATTTTCCATGCCGCGTTCCACGGCCACGTAATCGCCTTGTCTTCCTCGACGAATCGGAATCCTCGTACGGTGAAAACCGCTATCCCATTCGGGACACCGATCCTGGCACGCCGATTACACTTGCCCGATACTCGCGTCAATTTTCAGCTTGCAAAAATTTCCAACGAAAGATCTTATCCGTCGTAAATCTACAAAATCGAACGATTTTTAGGATTGTTGACACGTTGAGTGCCACGCGAAATTTTTAACGAAATCCCCGTAAGGCTATGCGCGCTGCTTAGAAGCGCTGGTATTATGGTATTAAATCAATGTACGTTATTTAGATTTACACTGGCAGTCACCGATGACTTTCGCAGCACTCAACGTTAATGCGTGTAGTGTTACGTTGGTGATTGACATTTTAAACTTGCGACGCATCTCTCAGGACGTTTGGAGTTACGAGATGTTCAAAGAAGGGTGAGACTCATTCCTAAGCTTGTTCGTAAACACTGTTCGACACGTCCGGACGACTCCAGGTTACATCGTCCGTGCAAACTGAGTTCAAACAGTCTCGTCTGCGAAAGCGCGTCGAGTTTCGGCTAAATCGGGCTCCCTTTAGCTCCGTCCTACAATAGGGAATGTATCTTTGTCGAAATCCTTGTCTCCGAGCACGGCGACGCGTGCTCCCTGTTTCATATTTTCAGGAAACCAATCTGATCCCCGCAATTTATAGATTCATGGATGCGAAAAAGGAGCCCGCGGGTAGCATTTTTCTCGGTTTGGGATTCGCTCGCGGAAAATATCACATTTCCCTGATATCAATCTTAAGGACGAACATTCCACGAGAGTTAAGGGGATCTGGATAACGAGAGCGTAACGGGATACGCTCAATTTTCCATAACAAGCGCACGAACAAACTGCGTCCCCTGCGTCTCCTCCGTCGACTATGTAAAACGTGGCGAGAGAAAAAAGCTACGCCGAGGTATCGCAAAATGGGAGATCCGTTTTTAAAAAGAAACGCGTTTACGCGACGCGTATACGATGCATAGGAAGCAGCGAGATAGGTTAGGCTGGCTCGACGGTGACAAAACGGAGGCTATTTCCGCGAATCATTCAAGACGGTACCCGTACCATCGATTCGAATGAATTTCATTTTCGCGAGTGAAACGCGCGATAAACATTCGATAAATATTCCTCGTGTTTACATTAAAATATTTACGTTTTAACCACGACGGTAAGATCGCATTTCCGAATGCGCGAGGAATAGATTTATTCAATTTCCCGGTTTAATGAACCTTACAAATACTGTACAGAACGTGTTAAGAATGATTGCGGCATTACTTTTATGTCGCGGCACGTACTCGCGTCAAGTTCGTTACCGCGAGCATAGGACGTCGGTACAAATTAAACGCTATAACTCGCAAACCAAACACTCCACCTACGGACGACCTGCGAGCATCTGAAAGAGCATGAAAGAAGGTACAATTGATATAGCTTCTCGTTGAAAACGGAATCGAGCGTATTTTTCTGTGTCGCGGTGGATACGAGCTCCTCCAGGTCGTATAAATCGGTATAAAATAATGGTCCGTAGAAACTCTGTGTCATCTATAAGCAGAGATTTGTTTGAACAGGTATCGTTAAGATATATGTAATTGTTCAAATACGGGAATTGATAACCACAACGAACGGTGATTGTGTAACACTTGGAGCACTGTAATGCTTGAATTCGGAACGATACTCATAAATTATGTGTAGTATTTGCTGCAGTTCAGCTCGGCATTCTCTAAATTTGCGATTTAACGTGTGTCTCAAACTTTTTATCTTCTCTGCAATCGTACATACGTGTTCGTAGCTACCTCCTTTATTTTTCTGCATTTTATTAATCCAACAGTACATCTAAAAATTGTAAGTTGTATTACAGGCTGATAGGAACTACGTCGTTCGTAATAATAATAAATACCGATAATCGTGGTAAGTTGGAGCTCTACGGAGGTGAAACACAAAACGAAAGTTTGCCGGTTGATTTGCTTTAACGATACTTTAATAAGAGTACAATCGATAGTATCTGCGAACACGTCGCAGCGGGTGTTCGCCGTAGGCCTGACTTCCTGTAGTCAGTCGCAAAACCTCGACAAGGAATAGAAACGAAAGGTTGACGATCGAGATCGCACCAGTGGTGAGTTTTTATGGTGGGTCTCGGTCGAACGCGTCGCAATTAATCTTACCCGTTGTCGAATGGAGATTCGAGGATCGGCGCGACTTACGCGTCGTCCGACTTGATCTTTTCGGTTTGGGCAGAAGCAGTCTCGTGATGCTGGGGTTCCGGCTCGTGGATGCCCATCCACTTGCAGCGCTTCTGCAGCTCCAGTCGGTACCTAAGCGAGAACGAAGAAGATAATCGTTTCACGTCGAAACTCTCGTCGACGAGAATAGCGCGAGAACGAGGCGAGCAGTTTGCTCGGTGTACCTTGGATGATTGATCGCGTAAATCCACGGGTCGATGCATGAGACCGTTTTCGCGAACACGGCGGGTACCATCGCGGCGGCCGGCGTCAGCAATTCCCTGCAATCGATTGTTTCGGTTACGTCGCGAGAAATCGATACTAAACGCTCGGAAACACCTAGCAATTTACCGATTGCCGAAAACTGCTGTCAGAGCGACGACCGCGTACGGTGTCCAAGCGAGCAGGAACAGGAAGAATATCGTGAACGCCACCTTGGCGATTCGTAGCTCGACGCTTCTCTCTTTCTCCTGATTTGTCACCAGCGACTTCACGTTCATCTTCTTAGCCTGTGGAGCCGAGATAACCGAGGTAGAATCGAAGGTATTCGGAGACTCGCAATAGAGTGTACCGATCGACCTGTTCGCGCAGCATCTTCTCGTGGTTACATATAGACTTGAGCAGTTGAGAGTAGAAATAACAGATGAGACATAAAGGTATCACGTATGCCCAGATGAAGATAGCCATGACGAAGGCTCTGGTGTCGTCATCCTCCGTGATATAGTCGAACGAGCAGGTGGTCAGGAAACCCTCTGAAAGCGTTAACGAGAGAGGCGATCAGTGAAGCGATGGCAAACGAGAATGATGATGTTCTGGAAGCTGACTCTCGAAGCTTCGAATATTTGTTACCGGTGGTGAATCGACTCCAGATCTGCAATAGCGGTAAAAGGGTGAACGGTGTCACCCAGAACCACGTTAACGCGATGATCACCGCGGCCTGCTTCGAGTTCAGCCGTCCGTCGATCGGGCAGGAAATGGTCCTGCGGAAACAAACGAAATCGATTCAGTCCTTCGTGCAACGACTTTGGAAAGCATCGATCGCGTAACGTTTGGAAAAGGTGTCGTCGCTACCTGTATCGATCGAAAGCGATCACTGCGTTGCTGATAGCCTGCCCGAATCCAGAAATCGACCCTAGGACAGCATAGACGTTGCAACCCACTTCCCAAGCCATCATGCGTTCCATGAAGCAGTTTACTATTAACATGGGCATCTCGAAGCCCATTAGCAAGTCGAAAACTGCCAGATTCACTATGAACATGTTGGACGGCGTTCTCAGCGATTTCGATCTGAAAGAAAACGTAGGAATTAGTTTGATACGAGAGGGCTGGAGTTAACAGTGGTCGGTACACCCTCGAGCACGCGAGATCAACCCTCCAGAAGAAACGATGACGACCCTCGTCGAGGGATGGCGCCACCACAGTCGTCGCCATCGCTACCCCGTATATGCGACTTTAACCCTTTGAATGCCAGAGGAAATTTTCGTACATATCCGAAAAATGCCAGAGAATTTCGAGCAATGATGCACGATTGTAAAGAAAAATGTATATTTCGGTCAATTTTATTACAAGGTTTATGAAACTTTTACACGATACTAAAAATATGTCAGATTTCCCTTATTACTAAGAAGATAGAAATAAAGCGTTATAGGTTTAACAAAAAATAAATTTGTATAAAGAAATGATTTTCACAACAACTTGAACTTGCACAAATAAATCTATCTGTATCTATTAAATATTGACGTTACTTGGGTAAAGCAAATTGATTTTTTGATGAGTTATAGCACTTACAGCTTCGAGCAGCGATCTAATTGCTCTTGGCACTCAAAGGGTTAGAAGTCCGGCAAATAACAACTGTACGTTAAAATAAAATGGTACTTTTAACAGTTTAAAGGAACATCCTTCTACGTACACGTAGACTGGTAAAACTGCCACGAAAATGATTTCAAAAAAGCATCAGCTCGTATTTGGTATATCATTTGTCATATATCGATACCTGATCGCGTATCAGAATTCCAACGTTCATCGATATCCGGAGCATTACCGTGTAATGAACCAGGTGAGTACACTTACGTGCTAAATATCCATATGACGCAACCATTTCCCACGAAAGACATCATCAGCAGCAAAGTGTAGATAAGCGCCATTCCAAGGTGCCAATATTTCCCCGGCGCGGGGAACCCCCTCCAGTGTGGGTGTATGAGGTCCGCGTGCTCCGGAGGCACGTTCCATCCCAGATATTTTTCACGCATCGTCGAAACATGCCTGGACGCCAGCGAGAAAACAAGCAGAGTTTAATTTCTCTGGACGAAGACTCTCCGGCCCGCGACACTTTCGGATCCAGGAAGTACAGGAATCGATTAAACAGACATCCTTCGCTCTACCGTCTCTCCCGAGCAAGGCAGCGAGAGGTACTCAGGGTTCGATAGAATTAGAAATGGAACCGAGACGAGAGTCTCGAGCATTTTGTCCTGAAACTTCTGTCTCTGACTGCGTCGATTCCTTCACTTGCCGGATCATGAACGGAATACTCTACTCCAACCGCCCAATCTCCTCGGTTCGATCACCGAATCGCAAACCAACACCCGGATCTCATCTAACGCGGCACAATCGTTGTCTTTCGAGGAATCCCTTCGATCCTCGGATGACGAGCGCACGCTATATGTTTCCCATTAGGGAAACGAAATACACCCAAGCCAGTCAAACGTCGGGAGCTTTGCAACGACGCGGTGTCGGGCGCGGGAGATTCGGAATGGAGGCGAGAATCGCGGTGTTACGAGCACGCACCCGGATTCGTCGCCCATGTAAGCCAATGGAGCGTTGACGAAAGTCTGGTTGCGCAACAACATCTCGGTACGACTCGAAGACTACGGTTTGAGCTCGGTACAACGGTAATCGTAGTCGCTTTTGCAAATTAATCGACGAATGCGCCGAGCCGGATCGCGGATCGCGGCAGCTCGACCGGATAAATGCCGAACGTTGAGCACGGCAGAGCGGAAACACGTTACTTCTTTTGCGATTCGACCGAGCGACAAACGCGAACGGGGGTGTACCGAGTCGATCGATACTGTCGGGAAGAAAGGGGTGAAAAAAAATGTTCCGATAAACTCGCGTTGGAAAGGATCGAGGTGTGATGCACACGGTTTGAAGTGAGACGCGGTGCAGAGGTCGTGAATACGTTCCGCAACTCACTTGACTCGCTCTATCGCGATCCCTTCCTTTTATACGCACGACGAATCGTGATCGGGAATGGCGTGCTGCTTGAGAGTTTAATTCGATTTGCGATTCACAAATACGAGAAACCTTTTGTTCGGCTGAGTCTAGGCGGTCACGCGAACCGATCTTCGCTCGCGTTACCACCACCCTCCGTGACGCGATGCCCTTTCGCGACGATTCTTAATCTCTCCTCGAGGCTACGTTTCGGAAGCGAGCTGAAGAATTACGGGGGTAGACTTCGCGCTCTCGCGGGAAACGAACAAGACGATGCTGGAGGGCCAAGGTCATTCGGGAGTCGCGCTCTCTTCTTCGAAAGTCACGGGAAAAGATGGCAACTGAAGAACAATAGGGGCGAGTTCTTGACACGCAGATACGACTTACTTCTATCCCCTCTTTTCTCTATGATCTTCGATATGTGTTCCAAGTTATTGACGCTCTTAATTATTGAATAAATTAAGGACTCAACCGTTTGCAGAATAAAAGAATTGTTTATTAATGAAATGAACGTTAAGGTACGGAGGCCAAAAAGACGTTGACCGGTTGAAGACTGTTACAAGAGCAAAACTCAAACGCAGGAAAACTATTCTATTCGCTCGACATCGCCGAACGGTCGGCGGACACATGGCTTTTATGGTTTGATCTGGGCCTATGTCAAGCTGAGAAACTCGCAGCGAAAATCAAAGGAGATACAAAATACACTTTAGCTTCAACACAAGTGCCAGTAGCTGCGCCTATTACGCCTAATAATTGATAATTGAGCCGTTCACTGTCGAATCGATTCACTCCACTTTTTGAAAAATCTTAAATTTAAGTGTCAAAGCACTTGGTATAGTCATAACATTTTATATTTATAATAACTTTCCTGAATAATAAAGATTAACACCATTTCCCGATTTCTCGGGCCATTGTAAACAAGAAGGTAGAAAGTCCGAACGAAATATCACGAGTGCGACTCGTTATTATTGTTTACGGTCCAAATTTCTTACCACGAGTCTCACTAGGTAAGCCTACGCCAAAGGGTTAAACGACAAACATTATTACATCGCATTATTATTATTTATTATTATTAGTATTATTTGTACATTATTTCATCGCACTTCTCAACATTTTGTTGTACGGAGTTGATCGATTTGCGCAATGAACGGCTCATTTCTTATTCGATGCTCTGTGTTATTTACTTCATAGTCCTTTATCTTCTCGTTCTTTGTCGTCGTTGACGTCGCTCAACGTAACGTTTAATGTACCCTATACACCGTGCACTCGAACAAAACAAAATAAACGAAATAACCAAAGGGCCACGGTCACTCCACTCGCGGGGATCGTCTCTCGCGAGCGTCCGGTTGTCCATCCCTCGTTCGTGGAATGAACCGGTCGCCAAAAAACCTGACAGTCGAGAGGTCTGTCGCGTCGGTCCGCGCTAGAGGGGCTGAAATTACGAGTGTACAGGTTCGGCACAGGAATCGATTGGACGCGCCATGTCAATCTCGTAATCGAGGGCTCGTTTTCGTTATCGGTTTAACCGAATAACCCTCTCGAACCGATCGAAAATTCGGAGAAATTGCGACGCACGTCGGTCAGCGTCCTGAAATTTCACGCTGGTCGATCGTCGTCGCCTCGCGTCGCGTCGCCTGCCGTCGCGCTCCGTCCGGCCTGGTCATTGGTCGCACGACCGCCCGCAAAACCATTTTTACACGCGGTCCCCCATTCGGTAGCGCCGCGCGAAATTCATCTAGGCAAGTGCATGGACCCGTTGTATCCCGATTCTCGGGTTTTCAAGCTACCCCGCGACCACAGCCTTCGCCCATCCAGCGGATTAAATCATAAAATTGTCCCGGAACGGCCGCGGAATTCCGCTGATTTACGAGGGAGTGTTACGCTCGGGCCGCGCGTACACTCGCCGGACTCCGCGTCGGTTGCGTTCTCGTAGCCGCGGGGGCTGGTCGAGCGATTCGCGGCGTTGCCAGTAGGGTTCCAACAGATCTCGAACAAAAAAATAGAAAAACCGAGATGAGATTATCTCGGAAATTCAACGAGAGAAAGGTGAAAAATGGACGGCGACGCGACGTGGAGAAACAGAGTAGGCTTGGAATACATGCTGCTGACGATAATAACATCGCTATTGATGAGATTAACACATTGGCTGGCGGACTAACGCGAACATTTCTGTGACGTTAAAAGTTTGTCTTGGGGCTGTTGAAGATTGGATAATTTTACGTTTGTCGTAGGATTTAATTTTTTAACTGTTGGATACTAGGTGGGTACATTAAGCAGATGAAAATAAGGAATACGTATTTTTGTATAGCTGCTATAGGAAATAATTTGATGCTTGAAAATTAATATCTATTAAGGGCGGAACCTGGTTTAGAATGCTGAAAATAAAGTGGTTTTTAAGAATTTTTTTTCAGGGACAAAGATAAAATAGAACTTCGCTAAACTTTAAGGGTGTGTTATTACGTGTTCGAAGAATAAAAAAAAAATGTTGTATTAGGAATTAGTGGTTTTTATTCCTGGTATTTACATAATCTTTATAAACACTTCACCACGAAGAGTAACAAATTGTGTACAATGTAGCATATCCAAATCTTATCTAAAACAAAATAAATTGATTTTTTCTTCAATGTTCTTAGTTCATAGAGGACAATTATTCATTATCTAACTGAAAATCCTTGGGAAAAGCCGATCGGTCAACTAGATTTATCTCTATCGTATACACAACCCCCCGAAACATGGTTTCGACAAAAACGTGTTTGAAGTTTTCGATACAGAAAAGTAATAGTTATTGAAAACTTACAGTAATCAGAGGTTAATCTGCTATACCAGGCCCATACAGCAAGCCTTCCGCTTCCTCATGAAACTCGTTTTGTTGCATTTGAAGCAGTCTGCGAGCTATTCGAGCCTCCTCCGTACTGCTTGATCTGTGGCGTTCCTGCCTCGAGACTCGTTGCGCGTCGTGCGTATCGGCAAAAAATTTGCTCTGTTGTCCAACGTTTAATTCTAGTGCGTTCATTATTCGTAGGATGGACGAGTACTCTTCATTAAAAATGCTGGCAGCAATGAAAGCGGCAATTTCGATCATTTTTATGCCTGAATTTAAATGTTTCGGTGCTAGGCGCCAGACTGTAGAATTGGAGCTTTCGTTCGAATTCTGGGTATGGCCACCTAAACATCGAATTAGCAGGTCATCCTTCGAAAGTTCTTCGTAAATTGGTTGTATGTGTTCAACATACATAGTATGTGACATCTGGGTGAAGTGGGGGTGGATGGTTGAACAATTTTTCTTAACCTGCCGTCTGAGCCTTCCGCCACTCGCACCAGCTGTCGGCTCCGATCGGACAATTGTCATGAATCGGATTTTCATTTGTGGATGACAAATGGTGTAATGTTGCCATTATGGCTTTTCTCATATCGGTCACGGAATCTACATTTCGTCTTATCGCTAGTCCATAATACGTGGTTAACTTTTTAATTAAAATGTCTGTTAATTTTCCTTTTCCACCAAGCTTTCCTGGTCATGACTTGGCCTACGTACACACAAATGCTGACAAATCTGTGTTCAGGAATAGATTCTATATGAATACTATTACTGATTTATGCAAAAAGAATCGATAATTTTGAAATTCTAAACCAGGTTCCCCCCTTAATAACAAAATTCAAATAAAAGTTAGAAGAGTAGCAGACATTAAATTCTAGAAGGCTATCAGTTTCTTCATTTTTATATACATGATTGTTATCGGGCGAGGACGATTTCGTCAAATCTAATCATTGATATCGTTTCATTTTGTATGAAAATTCAATATATTTGGCATGTGTACTTTTCGGTAGTGAATTATTTATCTCAATTACGATGCAAGAAATGAAATATTAATAATATGAAGAATGTGAATTTACGGAACATAAGTTTCGCAGAAATGGTATTCCGTAAAGAAATGTTGAAAGCAAAGTGATTTCTGACACCACGCACAAGTAATATTGCCATTTCCACAAAACCACAATATTACCACAAATTGATATTTTATGCCAGTACGATATTTTTATACTTTGCAATAAATTATTTCCTAACAATATCAGACATTATTATTGTTAATTTTAAATGATCGTGTAATTTTTAATAAATATGTATCTCATTCTAATAGCCACCCATATGTCTATACATGAATATATGTACTTCACGTGCGGCCGTTGCTCGATGGATTCGCGGGGCCTGCGTGCAATATTATACGAAAATTTACAAAACTAGGAGGCAAATGTATTGTATTATATATCAATGGATTCGGAAAGAAATTTCCGTTCATATTTGTCGTTATATAAATTTTGGTATCTCTTAAAATAATGTAACCAAAGATTCTTTTGTTATAAACAAATTACATTTTACAAAATCTGTGACCACTTTTTGTTTTACCTCATGAAACCATGAAACTTTTCCCTAAGAAGATTTCTTATATCTATTGTAGTTTTCGAGATAACATTTTTCTGCTGAAACTTCATGGGGTGATTTCAACTCCTAAACTTGCGATTGGGCAGCTATAAAAAAATACGTATCCCTTATTTTCACCTGCTTAATGAACCCACCAAGTTTCATCAAAATCGGAGACGGACAGTTGGATATGTTCCCTTGTGAGACAAGAGGGCACCGATAGTTTTCGTTGCATTTTTCCACTGACGTCGAAATACTCAGTTCGATCGTAGTCTTCTTGAGAGCAACATCGCAGCTCCTAACTCTTTGGTCAAAATAAAGAGTGTCTTATAAAAGGGAATAATTGGGTGATAATTATTTTCTAACCCCAATAACCAATATTAACACCGACAAATTCACAAGTCCTATCAAAATTTATTTTCGTTATCGTTTCACCTTTGGAATTCATCTTTTTTTACTCGCTCAATGAAAAGTCCTGACACCCATTTTTGGGTGACGTGGCGACTAACATGTTAACTCTTTGAGGTACACGATTATAAAAGAACAATAAGATTCAAGCTGCACAGAAACA